AAATTGAGAAGACAAAGAGAGGGCTAAGATTAGAAAAGAGATGTTGGTTCAGTCCAAACTGGAATACTATTTGGTTATTGGATCATAATTGGAGCTGTAGAACTTAGATTTAAGTCTAGTTTTTATGGATGAAAAACTAAGACATAGGCCTAAAACTTTCATAAGGAGTCCATAATTCAAAAAGACTGTCCTACAGCCTAGATACTGTCTAGTGTTTAGCTCATATCTCAAGTTTTTAAAGTTCAAATGCATCAATTTTTTTTGGTTGGAAAGTTGAGATAAATTTTTAGAACTTTCATGAAGATAATTTGTTCAAATTCTGATATTAGTAATGATATTTTGTTCATACAAAAAGATAAGGATTGTCACCAAGTCAAGATGTGGCCACCCACTCAACAATTAGTCAACAAATCAATAATTTCAAATTTTTCCCTGTAAAAGGAGGCATTTGCCATGCATTTAGGGATTTTAGTTTTCAGATCAAGATCATGTTCTTGCTCTTTTTTTTTTTAATATGTGTGAAAAAAAAAACTAAAAATAAATTATATTACAACTTAAATTTTAAAGATGTTAATATCCTTTTTAACAATTGATTTAGGTTTCTTACAAGATAAACTAAATGAAGTTTCATTAAATCAAATCAAAGCCTTAAGATTGTTGTCTGATTAGTACTTAAAGGTGTATTTTTATCAAGGTTTTATATTATTATTTTGTACTTACAATCTTTACAACTCCTTAACTAAAGCATATTTTATAATACAAGTATGATACCATAAAATACCTTTAATTTATAGTAAATATTCATCTTAAATGCAGGCCTATCATATAAATAAAAGGATTGATTGATGAGTTAAAGTACTGAAAATGAAAAGATAAAGAGATGGTGAAGCTCAAAACAGAGATTTCCTTTCATTATCTCAATTAAAATATTATATAATAAGATCAAAATATAATATTCTCTGTATAAAATGATTTGGTGATCTCAAGTCTAAAGATCACTTACACAACTGTTACGTAAGCCTTTCCATAGATGTATATGATATCTTCATATGAAATTCTCATTCGGGTCAATTCAATGAACATGTTTTATGATAAACATATATATATTAGTTATAGGTATCTCTTATACCTCAGCTTATGAGAACAAGTCTGATAATATAAGATACCTTTAATTTATGATAAATATTCATCTTAAATGCAGGTCTATCACATAAATCAAATGATTGATTGATGAGTTTAATTACTGAAATTGAGAAGACAAAGAGAGGGCTAAGATTAGAAAAGAGATGTTGGTTCAGTCCAAACTGGAATACTATTTGGTTATTGGATCATAATTGGAGCTGTAGAACTTAGATTTAAGTCTAGTTTTTATGGATGAAAAACTAAGACATAGGCCTAAAACTTTCATAAGGAGTCCATAATTCAAAAAGACTGTCCTACAGCCTAGATACTGTCTAGTGTTTAGCTCATATCTCAAGTTTTTAAAGTTCAAATGCATCAATTTTTTTTGGTTGGAAAGTTGAGATAAATTTTTAGAACTTTCATAAAGATAATTTGTTCAAATTCTGATATTAGTAATGATATTTTGTTCATACAAAAAGATAAGGATTGTCACCAAGTCAAGATGTGGCCACCCACTCAACAATTAGTCAACAAATCAATAATTTCAAATTTTTCCCTGTAAAAGGAGGCATTTGCCATGCATTTAGGGATTTTAGTTTTCAGATCAAGATCATGTTTTTGCTCTTTTTTTTTTTAATATTTTTGTAATGCTTTAGTTTTGCTTTAACTAATCTCTTGTTTATGTTTTTCATTTCCTTTACTATACTTAGTTAACTTATATCATGTTTATGTTCTTATAGTTTTTATTTATGTTTTTTTATTAGTACTCAAAAGTGTATTTTTATCAAGGCTTTATATCATTATTTTGTACTTGAAGTATCAATAACTCCTTAAGTAAAGCATGTTTTATAATAACAAGTATGATACCATAAAATACCTTTAATTTATAGTAAATATTCATCTTAAATGCAGGCCTATTGATTAGTACTTAAAAGTGCATTTTTATCATGGTTTTATATCATCATTTTGCACTTGAAGTATCAATAACTCCTTAACCAAAATATGTTTTATAATAATGTATCTAATAATATAAGATACCTATAATTTGTGGTAAATGTCTATTTTTAATACAGGTCTATCACATAAATAAAAGGATTGATTGATGACTTGAAGAACTTAAATTGCATAGATAAAGAGATGGTCAAACTTAGAGAAGAGATGTCGGTGCAATCCAAACCGGAACACTGTTCGGTAATTGGGTCATATCTGGAGCTACAAATCTCAGATTTAGTCTAATTTATATGGATGGAAAGGTAAGACATAGGACTACAACTTTCATATGGAGCCCAAGATCTAAAAAGGCCATTATCAAGTCCCAATTGTAGCAACAACAAAGAAGCTCGAATCTGTCTTCCAGCCCGAGCACTGTTCGGTATTTTGGCCATATCTAGAGTTCTAGAAGTCCAAATGAGCTGAAGTTTTTACACAAGAAAGCTGAGACAATTGTCTACAACTTTCATGTTTACAACTGGCTCCAATTTTGACGTTATCAATGAAGTTTTGGGCAGACAAGAGAAGATAAGGATTGTCACCAAGTCAAAAGTTGGCCACCCACTTATCAATTAGTCATCAAATCAATAGTTCCCAATTTTGGCCTATAAAAGGAGGCATTTGCCATGCATTTAGGCATCTTGGTTTCCAGATCAAGATCATGCTCTTCCTTTCTCTCTTTGTCTTTTTTGTAATGCTTATGCTTCGCTTTCATTATTATTAAGTTTATGCCTTTCCTTTCCTTTCCTTTACTTAGTTAACTCTTATGTTCTTATTTTGTTTATCTAGTTTGCTTTCTTTCATTATGTCTAGCTAAGTTCATTATGTCAAGGTGAAAAGGTTACACTAATGGTGTAAGAATAAGTATAATGTAAACTTAATATGGACTTTAATGTTTGATACTAACATGTTTTATATTTGTTATCTTGTTCACTCTTTAATACTTTGCTTGTT